AACGGCATGTTGGGCCCTGGACGGGGTGGCAGGCAATGAGCGACGCCGAAAAGCGGGCCTGCCTGCGCGAACATCCGCGCGCAAGTTGCCCGGGTGAGGTCGCAAGTAGGCGCCCTGCTTGACAGCGCAGCGTGCGGCGCAGGCGGCCCGCGTAGGCCACCGCGTAAGGTCGCTACGCCATCTCGCCTAAAACCGTCTTCTGTTCGTCGCTCAAGTGTTTCACACGCCTTTCCACCCCCATCAAGCGGGGGTCGGCGGATCCCAGCCCTTCCTACCGTTCTTTCAGCCCAACCATCTCTAACCATTTCGGCTCTTTTTCATGTGTATCTCTGGTTGTTGCAGCTCTTTCGATCTCATCTGAGCTCCTCTGATCCTCCTGACGTCCCAGGTCCTCCCGAGTCAGCCACAACTCCGAGCAGTGTCGGCAGGGGTAGCGACGGGGAGTATCAGGAGGTGGTGGTGGGGGTGACGACGGATAAACGCAACGCCTTCCAATGATTTCCATTTGATCGCAGGGTTCCGCCAGTCATCACCAGCTTGAAACATATCACTATCCCCATGTTTGGCATCGCCTTACCTTGATGCCGATCTCAAGGATTCCCTGAGTTTCTGAGGGCACATCCTGAAGATTGCCATCGCGCTTGGCTTGCCTATCCTGCAGTGGAGACCCATGCCAAGAAACACCCTGCTCGCCTTCAGGGTGCCTTGGGTTTCTTGGGTTTCGGTGTTGCTATGGAAAGCGTGACGTTCCCACACCAATTATCCATGGACGTCCTGGGGTCTCGGGATTGGGTGTCTTGTGGAAGGTTTCTTGTGGACTGGCCTCCACTGTAGGAGAGGGATCAGTTCGAGACTGGCCAAGCCAGGGCAACGAATCAACGCGCCGGCGAGGTGCGCAGCAGCGAGGCTCGCTTCGCGCGCCTGGGGGAGGACCTGGCGCAGGCAGAGAAGGATGACGGGCCTGTATTCCACCACCACAACCACCATCATAAATTTGAGAGGAAGGGGGTCCTCCTCCTCCTCCTCCTCCTCTTTCTCCTCCTCCTCCTCCTCCTCCTCCTCCTCCTCTTTCTTCTCCTCCTTCTCCTCCTCCTCCTCCTCCTCCTCTTCGTCCTCCTCCTCCTCGTCCTCCACCTCCTTGCCCCATCCAACTTACGGTGGTGGTGGTGGACAACAGGCCCTTCAAAGGACAGGGAGGCCCTGCAGAAGGAGCTGGAGTCGACGAGTGACGAGGCGGCAGCCAGGCAGGCCGAGGTATCCAGGCTTCAGGAGGGAAAAAAACACAGACACAATTAATCGTCGATTCCCCAGAAATCATGGGAAACTATGGGAGGTGGGGGGAAGACAAAAACCAAGAAAATATGGCAAAATATTGGGAATCCTGTTATTTGAGTGTATTTCTTTGTGTGTCCCAGGGCCCCTGCAAGGCTGCGGGGCGAGGCCAGCGACATGAAGAGCGAGATCAAGGCGATGACCTCTGCCATCGAGGACCTGAAGCAGGAGCTGGAGGACAAGAAGGCCTCCGTCGCGCGGCTGGAGGTGGAGGCCGCCAGGGCCAAGGACTGGGCAGGAGTCGCAAGCGCTTGGCATCGCTCGGACGTGTGCATTTTTCCTTCGGCGAGGACCATCGAGGAGCATCCTTGATCATTTGGCGAAAAAACACCGCACGGAACCGAAAAAAACACAGGGAATGGACGTCCGAGCGATGGCGAGAGGGGCACCGGCCTCCACGCCACCTCCCAGACTCGGATGGAGGAGAGTCGACGCCGGCACCACCACCGGGGGGACTGAGCACAGCGAGGGGAGCCACGATGCTTCTCCGAGCGAGAGGAAGGGGGGGCCACACCGACTGGAGGACCCTCCCCGGCGCCTCGCCTGTGGTGGTGGTGGTGGTGGTGGTGGTGGTGGTGGTGGTGGTGGTGTCGCCCCTCCTTACTCCTCCCAGCTCGTCCTCACGTCCGTGCGTGCCCGCTTCGCGCCCAGAGTTCACGCCTGAGACACCACTCGGTCGCTGCGGCATGCGGGAGCGATGGGATGAGGGGGGGATGGAGAGAGGTGCACCTGCCGTGCACGCTCGGGGGCCCGAATGGGCCTCCTGGGGCCCAAAAGGGGCACCAGACGTGCGCCTTCCTTCGCCCCCTCATTTTTGTCTCTGGGCCTCCCAGGTGGGCTCAGAGTAGATTGGGTCGGGGGATCGCGCCGCATCGCCGATGCGCCGGGGATGCGGCTCGGTGCGCAGCCCGATTTTCTCCACGCAGACGTCGCCGATGCACCGCCGACGTCGCCGCTGCATCCCCGAGATAAGTTTCCCAGGAGCTTCCCGGACCCTGGAGGCCTCCATGAACTTCCCAGAACTTCCCTCACGAGCCAAGGGCTCCCCAGGAGTCTACCTGTGGCCACCCACGACTTCTCTGAGGCCCTCCGGAAGCCTCCTGACGGCTTCTAGCTTCTAGCGCAGGGGGGGCCGCATGGGCCTGTCTGCCTGCGCCGCCGATGCGTGTGGCGACCAGACCCCCCCCCTGGCCTGCCAGGAGCGCCTCCCGCCAGCCTCCCAGAGGCTTCCTGCGCAGTTCGGCGGCGAGCCAGGGGGGGACACGAGAAGGGGAAGGCCTCCTCAGAAGGCGGCGGGGCTTCTCAGAAGCCCTCGCGCCTCCTGAGAAGTGTGCTGTGCCTTCGGGGAAGGCTTCGAGTGCTTCCCAGAAGGCTGAGGGACTTCCGAGCCTTCTGGGAAGGCTCGGGGGTGGACAGAACCCCCAACAGTGACACGTCGATTAGTGAATTGTCCGTTTTCGGTTCTCGAGAGGGCGCCGTGGCCGTTATTTTCCAGGCTTGCGCCCGCCAGGTTTGGGCCTCAGGTCGTTTTCACTAAACCACGTTTTGCTAAATGGGGGTCTGTCCATCCCCGAAAGGCCCGCCCCTTCTCACTACCCCCCCGGCGCTCGCCGCCACGCAGCGGGACTGCGGGCGGCTGCCCATATGCGCCTCCAAGCACCCGCCCCCCTGGCCTCCTCGGAGGCCCCATCCCCCTGGCCTCCCAGGATGATGATGATGAGGATGGTGATGATGATGATGAGGATGATGATGATGATGATGCTGCTGCTGCTGATGCTGATGCTGATGATGCTGATGATGCTGCTGCTGATGCTGATGATGCTGAGGGTGGTGGTGATGATGATGATGATGATGATGGTGGTGGTGGTGGTGATGATGATGCTGCTGATGATGATTATGATGATGATTATGGTGATGATGGTGGTGGTGGTGATGATGATGATGACGAGGAGAAGGATGATGATGATGATGAGGAGGAGGAGGAGGAGGAGGAGGAGGAGGAGGAGGCGCTAAACCGACTTGCGCTATACCCAGAACCAACATCAGCCAGCGTGGGCCCCGAGCGCAGAGTGCTTCTGGCAATCTCCCCCCCCCTCCTGCCCTCCCAGGAGGCCCCCCCCCACCCTGCCAGGGCTCCCGGGGACCACCCGTCTCCCAGGCGCCGCGGCGATCTCTCGCGCGCGCCGCGGAGGTGCGTGCGATGGCCCGCTTCTGCGCCGCCTGTGAGCGCGCGGCGACCAGAGCCCTCTCCGCGTACAGAGGAGGCCCATGCCAAGAAGAACCCCGCTTGCCTCCAGGCTGCCCTGGGTTTCTTAGGTTTCGGTGGTCTTGCTATGATCGGGGGTGGACAGAACCCCCAACAGTGACACGTCGATTAGGGAATTGTTCGTTTTCGGTTCTCGAGAGGGCGCCGTGGCCGTCATTTTCAGGCTTGCGCCCGCCAGGTTTGGGCCCGAGGTCGTTTTCACTAAACCACGTTTTACTAAAGGGAGGTCTGTCCATCCCCGATATGAGGAAGCGAGACGCTCCCACGCCAAGAGTCAATGGGCACGCCCTGGGGTCTCGGAGTTGGGCTTCTCGGGAAAGGTTTCTTGTTGCTGGGCTCCTACTGGAGAGGACTTCCGTTCGTGCCTTCATACCCCCCAAGCGCCGATCGGATCATGCCTTGGCCCTCTGGGTGCCCTCGTCGCCAACGCCGCAGATGGATTCAAGGAGCAGCCGGGTCGTTGCCCAGGGGTGGTCCAGGGGCGGATCTTCTGAACACACTCTGGCCAGAGGGTGCACAGCAGAACCTTTGTCCTTTGGGCGCGTGTGGGCGAGTGGGGTTGGCACTTCCCCCCCCCTCTGTACAAGGAGGAGATGGCGCCCAAGATGGCAGAGCTGGAAAGCGTGACCTCCCAGCTCGCCGAGTTGGAGGCAGATGCTCAGGCGGCATCGCTTGCCGATCAGAAGCGGGCGACCGAGCTGGAAATCGCTCTTGGACGCATCGATTCGCTGACGCAGCAAAAGGAAGCGCTCGCCTCCCAGCGCGAAGAGCTCCAGGTCTCCATCGAAGAGGCTCGGCTGGCCATCACGGACCTGCCAAAGGAGCTCGAGAACATCACCGAGTCCGTGGACAAGCTCAGAGCGGAGGCCTCTGAGCTGCAGGTCGCTCTTGGGCCCAAGGCCAAGGAGCTCGAGGCCATCCAGGAGGCGAGGCAGGTGGCGTCGGACGAGGTGGCGGAGCTCCGCAAGAGGCAGCAGGAGATGAAGGCCCAGTCAGACGCGATGCAGCTCGAGGCGGACAACCTCAAGCGCGACTACGCGAGCCTCGAGGCCGAGATCGTCTCGCTGAAGGAAAGGAAGGAGAATGCGGAGCTCGAGAGGGACAAGCTCATGCAGCTGGTCCCGAAGATCCTGACGAGCCGGAACTCCATGCTCAACGACGTCGCGTCCGCGGTCGAGGAGGCGAAGGTGATGCGGGAGGAGCTCATCTCGCAGGCGAAGTCGACCCAGGAGCGCCTCAGCGCCATCTCCCTCGAGTCGGCGCTCGCCGAGAAGGAGAAGATCCTGCAGAGCACCGCGGCGGAGATCGGCCTGGCCGCCCAGGCCTCCAACGAGGGCCTGCGCCGGGCGACAGCGGCGCTCCAGACGGCCGCGAGCGCCCGCGAGCGCGCCGAGGCCGACTTCGCGCGGCTGCAGGACGCCATGCGGTCGCGCCTCGTCGCCCTGCGCGCGCAGGAGGACGCCCTGAGGGCCACCACGGCGGAGCACCAGGGCGTGGAGGACGAGGTGCAGTCCCTCATCGAGGGGACGGCGCAGCAGGTGGAGCAGTTCCGCAACGCGCGGGCCTCCGTGGCGAAGTTCCAGAAGCGGATCCGCCGGATCTCCGGCGAGCTCGAGGTCGCGAGCGCGGACGACGGCGTCACTCCGGCGGGTGGGGCCCAGGATCTTGTTCACCCAGAAGGGGGTCCAGCGAAAAGGATGTGGTGCCATAGATTTGGTGCAGTAGATGTGTGAAGTTGCAATCGTTTTGGGGGCGTGCACTACATTCGGGTGCGCAAGTGCACTGCTGGTTCTCGCGTGCAACACGTTGGCTGCAAAACTTATAAGCAATACAAGTCTCCAGCGCAGTACATCTGCAATACAATTGCTCCAAATCTATTGCACCACCCCCTTTCAGCTGGACACCTCTTGGGTCAACCGAACAGGAGCCAGAGGATCCAGCCGTCAAGGCCGCGTCTGCCGCCTTTGGCCTCTTCGGCTCGCTGCTGAAGGCCGGGGCCGAGGGCCTGCGCGAGTCCGCCGAGAAGGCCAGCAGGAAGAAGCTGCCCGGTCCGAAGGAGTGACTTTCGGCGCTGGCAGGTCCTGCAGGACTGGCTTCTCTTCGCAGGCGCTAGGTTGCCCGACTCCTTGTCCTATTTCAACAGGTTTTCATACGTAGACTCCGCATGGAGTAATTCGAAGGTGAGGGATACGTCTTTGCCGCTGCAGTCCGACGTTCTGTCATGATGGGCTCCTCTGCCGCTGATGTTCTGCGCGGCACGGCCACGGACGAGCGTGGCTCAGATGGCGTAGAGGGGGAGGGCACGAGAAGGGGGTGAAGGCGGGGGAGGGGGAGGGGGGGTACGGAGGGGGGCAGACGAAGGGGTCGAGGGGGAAGGAGTGGAGGGGAGGAGAGAGGGGAGGTGCATGACGGGGGTGTGGAATGATGGAAGATAGTTGCTTGCCAGTGAGGGGGAGGGAGAGGGGAACGGAGAGTGGCAGGAAGTTTGACTTCGCTACATCAAAGACTTGTTCCACCCGCGAGTGGTCGACAGACAGGCGAGGGCATGGAAGAGGAGGAGGAGGAGGAGGGGAAGGTGGGGAAGCGGCGGGAAGGGGGAGAAGCGGATGGTCAGAGCGAGGCGGGCAGGAGCAGGGGGAGGATGGGATGGAGGGAGAGGGCGAGGTGCCGTGGATAGTTCCAGCAGGAGAAGGGGGGGGACGGAGGAGGAGGAGGGGGGAGGAGGAGGAGGAGGAGGAGGAGGAGGAGGAGGAGGAGGAGGAGGAGGAGGAGGAGGAGGAGGAGGAGGGGGAGGGCGAGGGCAGGGTGGTCGGGCGTGCGCGCGTGGAGTCACCTAGGCGGCGGGCCTATCCCCAGCACAGGCAGCGGGCGGCGTGCTGCTGCCACGGCCGGCGGAGCCAACGAAGCAAACGAAAAAAGTTGGTCGTCTGCTCCCCCCAGCCCCGGAGGAGGAGGATCGCCGATCTATCGGCGAACGGTGTGGTGACCGCACCGTGCGGTGCGTCAGTGGGGATTCGGGGTCACGGCACGGTTTTGGGACTCGGGTCCCTCTTCGAGGACGCCTCGGGCGGCAGGGGCCCGCCCGGGGTCCAGAAGACCGTGCGGTGACGAGCCGTGCGGTGAGATCTTGTGGGATTTCGAGGTCACCGCACGGGCTGTCACCGCACCGTCTCGGGACTCCAAAGACATCGCCGATTTCAGCGGGAAAAAAGCACATGTGGGAAAACAAACCACAACCGTTTTTTTGTGTGTGCGTGTGTGCGTGTGTGTGTGTGTGTGTGTGTGTGTGTGTGTGTGTGTGTGTTCCACAGTGTTTTTTTCCCACCGTGTGTGTGTGTGTTTTTCCCAACAGTGTGTGTTTTTTTCCCCACAGTGTGTGTGTGTGTGTGTGTGTTTACCTAACAGCGAAGACTGATAGGTTTCTAGTAGTGTCAAAAGAGAGCATCTTGACTCCCCAGGGGGTGCCGCGGAGAAGCCGCGGAAGTCGTTTTAAGCAAACAGTTACACACTTCGTGGTCTTCGAGGTCCCAGAACTCCATTCCTGGGCATGATTCTGAATGCCCGGAGCCAGCTGTAGGCCACTACGTGGTCTTCGAATTCCCAGAACTCCATTCCTGGGCATGATTTTGAATGTTCGGAGCCAACTGTAGGCCACTTCGTGGTCTTCGAGTTCCCAGAATTCCATTCCTGGGCATGATTTTGAATGCCCGGAGCCAACTGTAGGCCACTTCGTGGTCTTCGAATTCCCAGAACTCCATTCCTGGGCATGATTTTGAATGCTCGGAGCCAACTGTAGGCCACTTCGTGTTCTTCGAGTTCCCAGAACTCCATTCCCGGGCCATATTTTGAATGCTGAGGCAGGCTGATGCTGAGGCTGAGGCAGGCTGAGGCTGAGGCAGGCTGAGGCTGAGGCCGAGGCTGAAGGAGGCTGAGGCCGAGGCTGAAGCAGACTGAGGCTGAGGCTGAAGCAGGCTGAGGCTGAGGCTGAGGCAGGCTGAGGCTGAGGCTGAGGCAGGCTGATGCTGCAGGCTGAGGCTGAGGCTGAGGCTGAGGCTGATGCAGGCTGAGGCTGAGGCAGGCTGAGGCTGAGGCCGAGGCTGAAGGCAGACTGAGGCTGAGGCTGAAGAGGCTGAGGCTGAAGGCAGGCTGAGGCTGAGGCTGCAGGCTGAGGCAGGCTGAGGCTGAGGCTGAGGCTGATGCAGGCTGAGGCTGAGGCAGGCTGAGGCTGCGGCCGAGGCTGAAGGCAGATTGAGGCTGAGGCTGAAGCAGGCTGAGGCTGAGGCTGAGGCAGGCTGAGGCTGAGGCTGAGGCAGGCTGATGCTGAGGCAGGCTGAGGCTGAGGCTGAGGCTGATGCAGGCTGAGGCTGAGGCAGGCTGAGGCTGAGGCCGAGGCTGAAGGCAGACTGAGGCTGAGGCTGGCAGGCTGAGGCTGAGGCTGCAGGCTGAGGCTGAGGAGGCTGAGGCTGAGGCTGAGGCAGGCTGCAGGCTGAGGCTGAGGCTGAGGCTGAGGCTGGCTGCTGAGGCTGAGGCTGAGGCTGAGGCTGAGGCTGAGGCTGAGGCCGAGGCTGAAGGCAGACTGAGGCTGAGGCTGAAGCAGACTGAGGCTGAGGCTGAGGCAGGCTGAGGCTGAGGCTGAGGCAGGCTGATGCTGAGGCAGGCTGAGGCTGAGGCTGAGGCTGAGGCTGAGGCTGAGGCTGAGGCTGAGGCGAGGCTGAGGCTGAGGCTGAGGCTGAGGCTGAGGCTGAGGCAGGCTGAGGCTGAGGCTGAGGCTGAGGCAGGCTGAGGCTGAGGCTGAGGCTGAGGCTGAGGCTGAGGCTGAGGCTGAGGCTGAGGCTGAGGCTGCTGAGGCAGGCTGAGGCTGAGGCTGAGGCTGAGGCTGCAGGCAGGCTGAGGCTGAGGCAGGCTGAGGCTGAGGCTGAGGCCGAGGCTGAAGGCAGACTGAGGCTGAGGCTGAGGCTGAGGCTGAGGCTGAGGCTGAGGCTGAGGCAGGCTGAGGCTGAGGCTGAGGCAGGCTGAGGCTGGGGCTGTGACTGCGACTGCCGTTGCCACTGCGACTGTCATCGCGAATGCGACTACGACTGCGAGAACAGCAGAATTCTACAACTGGATTCTCATCTGAATCTTAAGGGGAATGCTGCCAGATATGCTCCTACACATCACTGTTAGGTTGATTTGCCGGGATAATTTCCCACAGTGTGTGTGTGTGTGGTTTTCCCACAGATGTTCCCCCCCAACGCCAGGTCCCTCCCTGTCGTTGCCCCTCGGCGGAGCTGCGGGCTCGTTGCGGCGCGGACGCCGCCCCGGCTCCGCCGCCTCGGTGCGCCCGCCTCCGGGCGGGCAGCGCCGCAGTCTCCCCGGGCCTCCGCAACGTGGGCCTCCCGTGGCCTCGAGAAAGAACAGAAGCCATAAACGTAATGCGGGATGACGATTAATAAAAAATGGGAGAGACCGATTGAATTCATAGTTTTCTGTTCTTTCTGCATAATTTTCTGACTGGAGGAGAACGATTAAAAAATAGTTTTCCAGCCCGCGGCCGGTTTTTTCTAATCGTCATCCTTGGCGCCGCCGCGTGAACACGACCCCAGGTCATTTATTAATCGTCATCCTCCATTAAGCTTCCCTGACCGTCCAGAGTGCTAGAAAATAGCACTCCAGACCTATAGACTCATCCGGGCTGCCTGGAACCTCGACTGGAATTCGGGTATTTTTAGGTCCAGGTGCTGTTTTTGAGCCCTCCTGGAGTGTCAGGGTTTTGGCGCTGTGCGCGGAATTCTCGGATCTGCGATGGAGCCCCCTGGCGGCGCCTCCGGCGCCGCCCCTGGCGCGCTCCGCGCGCCAAGGAGGGGGGTCCAGCGCAGATCCAACAAGTCTGCGCGGACCTCCACAAGATGTTTGAGCTGTTTTTGCCCTCACTCTAGTGGCCTGCCCCCGCGACCGACGGCGAAGAGGGGCACGTCACTTCTCGGTCCCGCACTCGGTCTGGGCTGCGGAGCCGATCCCCCCCCTCCCCCCCAAGCTTTTTGAGCTGAGTCCAATCGAACGGAGTTAGGGCGAGGATGGATCCGTTCCAGAGCGTTACGGAACGCTCTCAGAGCGCTCCAGAACGCTCTGAGAAGGCCGCGGTGCCCGAGACAGCCTCCAGATCCGCCGGATCTCGGATATTCTCGCGATCTTCTCCTTCGATGGATCCTCGCGATTTACTCCTTCGATTTCTTCTCTCGATTTATCCTCGGAGATTCCCGATTCATCCGCGCCCGATGTCATCCGCGTCCTGGCTGCGTGCTATCCAGCCGCTGCGACGCTGGAGGGGGACGGACGCGCTGGCGAGCGGGCGGGGGGCGGGCGGGGCGCCGTGGCGCTCCGAGCCCCACGCCGCACGGCGGGCGCAGCCGGCTGCCTGGCTGCGGCCGGGCCGAGCATGGCCCGTGCCGTGATGCCTGGAATGATCGGGCCGGGCGAAAGGGGGGGATTGGGAAAGGGGGGGTTACGAAATTTGCTGCATGCAGATGGTTTCGGCCCCGCCGAGGGGCCCATTCCTCGATACATAGCCGCCTCCGGGGCCAGGAGGCGCTGGGAAAATCAGCTACGCGAGCTGATTCCCAAACCCCCCCTTTGCTATCCCCCCCTTTCGCCCGACCCGAAATGAAGCAGTGGCGAAGCGTCCTGGCTCGCCTATAGGCCCTCCAAGGAATGTTCTAAGAACCTTTTGAGGTCTGCACGGCATGTTCTTCGAACATTTCCGGCCGGAGCTGGCTTGTTTTGACGCATCGGGCTTGTTTCTAAGGACCTGGTCCTTGTTCTTGGAACATGTTTGGGTTCTGAGAACATGTCGTGGTAGGCCTATAGGAATGCTGGGACGGTCGGTCCCTGCTCAATGGAAGGGACAGCGCCGAGCGTCGCTCTGCACGCACACCCGCACTGCCGATCGTTCCGGGGCAGTGTTGAATGGGGGGGATTCCGCCTCGACCGTCCATTGCCAATCGATCGCCGAGATGGGTCTGACAGCCCACTTCGCCCGGGACCGTGCGCATGCGCCATCGGGGGCCCATACGCCGATTCCAGATCGATGCACCCCCTCCCTTCGCTCCCTTCGCTCCCGCGCGCCCCTGTGCGACGACGACGGCGGCGGCGGCGACCACGACGACGGCGGCAGCGACGACGACGACGGCGGCGGCGGCGGCGGAGACGACGATGGCGGCGGCGGCGGCGGCCCCGCGCCAGGAGCGGCCCCGGTCCGAGAGCATCGCCTCCGGCGCCGCGAGGGCCCTGCTCGGCCGCCGCCTCGGCGGGGCGGCCGGGCCCGCCTCTTCGGGCGCCGGGCGGGCGGGCGGGCCCGGGGAGGGGAGTGCAGCAGGCGCGCTGGGAAGGCGTCGAAGAGAAAGCGGCATCGACGTTCAGGAGGGAGAAGAACACACAGACACAATTCATCGTCGAGTCCCAGGAAACTGTGGGGAAATATGGGAAGTGGGGCGGAAGACGAAAACCCAGAAAATATGATAACATATAGTGCGTCCTTTTATTTGTGTGTATTTATTTGTGTGTCCTGGGGCCCCTTCACATACCCAGACCCCCTCGAGCAGTGCAGAAGTCATGACGGGGCGGTCTTCGTTCTTTTCGTCCTTCATGGCGCGCTGGAAATAGTGACGCCAGCGCTGCAGCGGGAGCACGATTCGGAACGAGCGGAAGCGCGGAAACGAGGCCAGCGCTGCAGCGGGAGCACGATTCGGAACGAGCGGTAGCCCGACACTGAGGCCAGTGCGTCAGCGAGACCAGCATTTGGAGAAACAGCGCAAGCGCGGAAGCGTGGAAATGAGGACGTGTAGCCTGACATAGCTTGTCGTGGCGACGCCCCAAGTGGTGGGGAGCTTCTGCGGCCCCCAAAATCAACGAACCGATACCGAATGTGTGATCA